GAGCACAGCGGTTTCCCTGGCAGTGCAGCAGGCTTCTGCTGCTACCGTGATAAGATAGGGCTCAGACAGAAAGCAAAATAAAAGCATAGCCCAGTTCTGGCTGCATAAATGATTGGGACTGGGAGAGGCAGCATGGGAGCTCCTCAGACGGAAGGAATGTAAAGATTTACAAAACCCAGAAAAGTCACAAAACCTTTGCTAACATTTATTATAGCCTGTAGACTGTTAGGAGAATATTTGTCCAGTTTTGGATAAGATAGTCTGTAATGACTTTGCTTCTAACCTCAGGCTCTTTCTCAGGCACTGAATGGCTTTGTTTCCACCGCTGGATCCTGTGGTGGCCGCTGCTGAGCTCGTTCCCAGTTGCCACCTGAAACACCAGAAGAACAACTTTCAGCATGAACGCATAGCTGACAGGGAGGACAGTTTAAAGGATCTCTATGCCCGAAAGAGCCGAAGCTATTTGTATTCTCTGTCTGTAGAAAGCAGTCAGCACAGCTGCAGGCACGGAGGCTGCTGTTCAGCTGGGCTGCAGAGCAAGTGTCTCCCCAGCCAGACCAAGACTCTGCCAGCTAAATCAGTAGCCAGGCGGAAAGAAGGAGTGGACCGTGCATATCCCCTGAAACCAATTTTTCACCACAAGGGTGTGAGTGTTCCAGTGGTCAACACAGCGCAGCTCGGAAGTTCCCCATACATGGAGGAAGCTCCAAATTGTAGGCCTAGCTTAAAGAGTAAAGAGAAGCCTCTGGCAGGGAGGTCTCAGCTAGCTGCAGTGCTCTCTCCTTGGGCAGCAGAGCCTAAACAGTCAGCCTTCCATCTGTACAGGAGAGAGCTGGCCTATATCCTGAAATTGGAGGCAGATGGACAGAAGCTGGAAGAGGAAATTCGAAAGAAAGAGGCCCTCCTCAGAGAGAAGCTGAGGAGAACAAAGGAGGAGCTTATGAGGATTCAAAGAGAGAAGGAGATTGTCGAGGCAGAGGAGAGGAGACACAGAGAAGCAGAGAGGACCTACGAGCGAAAGGCTGCAAGGCACCCTGAAGAGAAAGCTTTCAGAGTTGCTGTCTGGCCATGCGGCAGTGGGGGGGTCTTCGGTGGGGCACAGTCTGCAGAGGCCACTGTCCCCAAGCCTGGCACCGCCCTCCGCCCCCAAGAGCTGGCTATGGGGAAACTCAAGAAGGAGCGGCTGATGGCCAGCAACAGCAAAATTCGAGACCACGTACCCATGGAGCGTTTAGCCTCTTGTTCAAAGCTGGCCCCAAAACATAGCCCTTCTCCCTCTGCCCTCTCAGACCGAGCTTCTGGTGACCACCCGTCCGCAGAGGTGCTGTACATGCAGGCTGGCAGTACCGTGGAGCACGGGGGGCTCGGACAGTGCAGCTTCTGCAGACGTAAGTTCCTCTGCACCAGGCTTGAGAAGCACACCAGGATCTGCAGCAAGAGCCAAGGCTCCAAGAGGAAAGTGTTTGACTCCAGCACGGCCAGGGTTAAGGGCACAGAACTGGAACAGTATCAGCAGTGGAAGAGCTCAGAGGAGCCTCAGGTAATGTGCAGTCCCTTTGCTTCCCTCGATCCACATCTGCTGCTCAGGTTCCTTCCACCTTGACATCTAATTCTGACCCAGATGTGAGCGCCTTCACCTGTACAGGGGGCTAAGGGATACAGTCCAGCTATTGCCTCTGAAAGGTTCTTGCCAAATGGGTAAATAGATCCATTTAAAATCTAATAGATGGGAGGGCGGGGGTCCTAACTGAATTGTCTTTGTAACGTGTACTCATGGCAAAAGCTCACTCCTTGCTGTCATCAGGCTGCTCAGGATGCTGACTGGGTCTGCTGCAGTAAAGCTCTGTGACATGAGGGGCTGCAGGGAGCTGACTGAAAATCCAGGTAGTAACGCAGGCTGTTAAAACAAAGGCAGTGGAAACATGTGGCTTTGTTCCTGCAAAGCAGCTACAGCAACTCTCTCCAGTTCCTTGGCCCTACTGCTTGCTTTTCTGGTTATTCTCAGGCTCTTTCCGAGTACTGATGTCTCCGCCAGTATTGCCTTCAAATCCTCCTTGGTGCTGGTCTTTTTGATCCCCTTTGTGGACCTCAGCTTCTCAGGGAGGGTTCTTACATCAACAGGGATGCGTGACCCGAGTTGGGCCCCGAGCGTAAGAGGGAGATTGAAGCCTGATGGTGGTGCCAGTGGCTCTGACTGCCTTTCCCTTCTGCAGAGTGATCCACCCAGAAAGAACAACTGGAGAAAGAAGCACGAGGTTTTCATCCAGACCCTGCGCCAGGCCCGCCAGGTGCAGCAAGTCCTCTCCAAGGGCGGGAAGGTGTCCGACCTGCCCCCGTTGCCTCCCATCGAAAACCCAGACTACATTGCCTGCCCCTACTGCAGACGCCGATTTGCTCCCCAGGCAGCCGAGAGACATATTCCCAAATGCAAAACCATCAAGAACCGGCCCCCACCCCCACCGCAGCGCAGGTGCTGCTGAGGCCACGTCCAACTGTACCTGCTGCTGCTGTCATCCCCTGCCACTTCTGCTGTGTCTCCCGCCATGGACACTTGCACTTTCCCTAGTCTCAGCGCTGGCTGCAAGCATTGAGCTTGTACGTACAGCAAGCAAGCAGCTCAGGACATATAAGCAGAATACTAGAACTCGTGTACTTTGACCTGTGCCCGGGGCTGCCCCATGCGGGATGTCCCTCTGGGGCTGCTTCTCCCACCCAGTGAGCTCGACGCGGGGTCTCGGTGTAGGTGTCAGGCTGTCGCCGTTCGGTCAGCTGGGCGGGGAAGAAAGGCTGTAGTTCTCAGTGATTTTGGCCTCATGCTAAAAGTTTTTGTCACACACTGCTAAAGGGTCTTTTGGTGGAAATAGGTGTCCTACAGACCCTTTTAGGGGATCATCTGCTTATAATTGGTGACAGTTCCTGCACGTTTCTAAGTTATTTTTCCAGATTCTGATTTTTGATATATTAAACTAGTTCTGTTGTGTAAAAATTGTTTTAAATGGTCACAGAGTGGTTTGTGTTCTCAAAGTAAGAATGACTACTTTGTATGAGAAAGTTGCAACAGGAAGCAAACAAGGAACAAAAAAATTCCAGCAGCTCCTTTTGCAAGTCCTTCAGTAATGTAGCAGCAGCTCATGGGAACCTAAAAACATAAAAAGCAACTAGATTAAACTGGACTGGTCGGAAGCTGAACATAAAGAAACACTCCAGCCTTCAATGGGTGGCCAAGACTCCGGAAAGAAGTTGGAGAGCTTCTCCTCTATAGATACGTGGGTCCCTTGGCACACCCTAGAAAAGCATGACAGTCCCAGAAAGGGTCAGTGCTGCACTGTGCCAGCCAGGTGTAAGAGTGTACAAACCCAGAGAGGAGAGAAAAACCAGACTCCAAACAAGAGAAAGTAGCTATCGTTTGCTATATCCAAATTGATCGGAGGAGCAAGATATCTGCTCTAACTTCACAGCTTCGAAATACAGGATAGCAAGAGCTGACAGGAGGTAGGAAAGGGGTGAACTGGAAGCTTTATGCCAGCCTCCTTCAGTTAATGAAAGGTGTAACTGAGTTAAACAAAGAGTAGTTCAGAAATTCAGTACCACTGCCTGTCTTGTAATATTAACTCCGTTTCCCTTGTACTGTGTTTTATTGACTGTGTTTAGTGGACCCTAAAAATCAGCAGAGTACAAACGGTGACTGGGCTAGATACACACAGAAAAGCTTTTGATACTGTAAAATATATCGATCTGTTGGGGACTTCTCTTAAGTGACAGGCAAACGGCTAAAACTGAGATTGAAACTGCATATTAAACAAAAGTTATTGAAATTAAACCACCAGGCTTCCTTTGTTATTTTTGTTTTGGAGCTAGCCCTGGGCAGTTCACCCCTCTTAGCTGAGCTGTTGTTTCAGGTCAAGACAGACAGCAGTACCCAGAAAGTCTCCGGTAACTGGTTTAAAACTTAGCAACAGCTTAGCCAAAGCATCAGGCTCAGCACAGATTTACCCTGCTGCTTTGCTGTCGTGGTTGATGTTGCCCTGACCCTACCCAGGCTGTGTTATTCACGCCACCTCAGCTTCCTTTTCTGCTACTGCAGTACAGTCCCCCTCTCAGAGACATGCTGCATTTTCAGTAGCCAAATCTCTGGTGAATTTTAAGTCTTTAACCCAGCTCTGCCTCTCAAGACATTTCACAATTTACTAAAAACCCTGATAAGAAGAGTCAGAAGTGACAGGCATTCAGGACAGCGTGCAGGAACACCTAGCTGAGCAGGTGTCAGGCAGGTTCTCCCTTCTGTAGGCCTTAATGCTCAGTAGAAGCTGTTCCGAGAGAAACAGGTACTTCTTCCCTTTGAGCCTCTCTCTTCCCATTACTCATTTCCCACTTAGCACTCAAACCGTTGAAATAAACACACACACACACACACAAAAAGCCCCTGACGTCACTAGGAGGAGATGCAGCAGCAAAATAAAGCATTGTTTTGTTGTTTGTTTGTTGTTTTGGGTTTTTTTAAGGTTTTTTTAATGAAGGGACACAGAACCTGACATTTTTATTCCCATAGCAAAGAACTTGCAAGCCCCTTGGCCCTCTTTCTATAAGCAAAAATAAAACCACCACCAACCAAACAACAGAATGCCATGAAGCCAGCTGACTATATGCATATTTCCCCTTCCTCTTTGGAAAAAAAACCCAAAACACTCTGAACACAGGACAATGAGTTTAAATATTTATTTAAACAGAAACTCCAAACCACTACACCCTTTAACCTTTCAGAAAAAGACGACAAACTAGTTTTCAGCCAGAGTGTCAGAGCAGGCGTAAGTTGTGTTCCACTATAACAACTCAGTAGCAATACTAGCAGGAGACCAACACATACGGAGCTAGCACTGCAAGAAGGGGAGAAGTAAAAACGGTTTGAAACTGCTCAAAGGCACTTCTGCCCACTTGCCCTTCCATTTTCAGCCCAAGACGAAGGTGCTGGCTTTAAACTGCTTTTTTGGTTGCATAGCTGGCTGGTGTGAAATCTGTGGTCTGTAACAGGCACAACCTGGGTAGCGTGAATCCTCGAAGGCACATATGAAATTGCGGAGCACAGGGCATCCTCTGTCAGGGACCCTAATCCTCCGCTAGATCCAAGGGGAATCCAGTCTGTGCACCTAGCTTCCCAACTGCAGAGCATTGAGAAATGAGGATAGCAGTGCACTGCAGGAGAGCGACTCCCATCAGCTTGGTGCTGGCTTATTGGACATGGCTCAGGCTCCACGCTTCACTCCTCAAAGGCACTGCCGCAGCGTGACCAACTCAAATCATTCCCAACCGCAACAACCACCCTCCAGCCGGGACCCTAACCTGAGGACTGGCTCCAACGCACGAGGGGAAAGGAGAGCAGAGTCACAAGGGCGACTAAGGGACGTGGCCACGCCAGGGTGCCTGACGCTCATCACCTCCCAGGAGGGCTGTCCTCCTAGCCTTCCTTCGGTAACGATGGACAGGCACACCGGTACGATCCTTGCCCTGGACACCGCACTGGAGAGACTGCACTTGTTTCAGCTCCAAGATACTAGCAACAGGCACCAAAGAAGTAGTTAAGGAGAGTAAGTTACAAGCAGTATGGTTTGGCATCCACCTCTAGAGACAAACAGGGAATGCTGGCTCCCCCAGAACTGTCTCTCAAAGGAAGAAGTCTAGGAGAGGTGGCAGGATACCCAACTCCAACAGACCTACGGCAATTCTAGTGACATGCCATTGATGGGGATGGTTTAAGCCTAATGAGGTCACAACTCCACTCTCACAGCAAAAGGTGAGAGGGACTCAGGACTCCTTAGAGGCTTCACGTAAGGCAGGGGAGGCTAGCTGCTCCCAGTGATCCTACCAATCCCAAAACCTTAGTTCAAATTCACTTTGCTAATAAATTTAAGGGGAATAAAATTAACCTCATTGTCTAACAGGAAATGAGGAAATCTTGAGCATCAGACCATGCCTTTCCCATCTCCAATTTTCTTGGGAAAGCCTCTCGCTTCTAGAAAGAAGGTGAATTCCAGACAGAGACTTGATCACTCGTGGTCATTGGGGAAGGCTGCATCCTGTGACCACGGCATTAATGACCTATTCTGGGTAGGAAGCTGCATTCCAGCTTCATCAAAACACTGAGTGGAAAAACACTGATTCTTCCCACACCCACGCAGAGGGTGGGCACCAGGGGCTGAGCAGAACAGAAGCCAAGCAGGGAGCAGCTATGGGCTTATGCCAAGAAACCAGAAGCTCTGGCACCCAAACCAAGTTGAACAGCTGGAGCAAGAAATGGGTGGCTTCGTCTGAGGCCCAGACGCTTGTCACCTGGTTGGGAAGCAGGTGGTCTGAAACCGAGAACCAGAGATCCCATCTCGGACAGTCCCCGCTACTGCTGTTGGAAACAACACCCGATTCACTCACCTCGGTGCACTGCCTGGAAGTTGGAAAGCTCTAGGCACCCAGAATAAAGCCTTTGAACTCTGTCTATACAGGCCACTGGACACAGCCATGTGGCCAGAAGCTGTGCCACCAGCCCAGGGACACACTGTCTGCCATTATCTCCCTGACAGGAAGATCTCCGCTGCCTCCAGAAAGAGACATTCTCCACCCCCCCTGCCCCTGAGCAGAGGGGAGCAGCCTCACCGGCCGGGCCTTACCATGCAGTAGGGAGAGGATCCTAGTCCTTCACCCCTCTGAAGTGAAGGTGGCGAGTCTTAGGGTTCAGCCAGCTTCAGTACAAAACATGTCTCCTCCTCTCATCTAGAGATGCAGTGATGAATACTGGGGTCCCAAAGGCAGCTCCCAAGAAGCAGTGAAACAATGAAAGGGCCACGAGCTGCTACTGGAGCCATCGCTGTGATGGGGCCGTTCTGCTTCACGTGCGGAATTGACAGATAAGGTACAAAGAGGAGCTGTTGCTGCTTCAATCACTGAGCTGGCCTAGAGCTCAGCGGCCCTTCCCCTCTCAAACTCACTCCTAGTTCATATCAAACGTACATGGGTGCTGCTCTGGAGCCTCCGGCCTCGCTCCTTGTCTGCGAGTGACCTGAAGCCAGGAAAGCCGCTCTCTGCATTCGGTTAGTGTGCTGTGAAGTTAGATGGATCCCAGTGGGCTCAGGAGACTAGAGGCTGGAGCGGCACGAGTCCGTTCCCAGGAGACACCAGGAATCTGAATCCAAGTCAGGTTTTGGATCCACTTCCATCTCCTCTTTGGCTGTCTGTGTTCCTTTGGAATGAACCTCCACCTGCCAAAACACACAGCAGTTATCCAAACAGCTCTAGGACTAGCTGCAAAGAAGCCAGGAGCTGCACGAGGCACAGTTCCAAACCTCCACAGCCATTTGGGACTCTCTGTGACATCCGAATGCTCATCCCTTCTCACCAGGAGAAATAAAGGGGAAACCCAGGTCCCTCAAGGACTGAGCTGTCCTCACAGGAAACTCGTCTTGGCTTCATTCCCGTTGCTACCACCAGAGCCTGCATCAGCAGCTCAAACAAGAGACAGGCACCATGCTGAGTCCCCCCCATTCTGCTCTAAGAGGGACACCTGTTAAGAGCTGCTTCCTTCTGCGCAGCCTCCACAATCTGCACAGGAGCCACCACCAGTGTAGTGAGCCCTGGGCATGGATGTGCACCCAGGTGATGGGTCCTCACCTGATGCATTCCCTCCATCCCCCTGCAGAACTGCTGGAGCTGGGCACTCAGACAAATGGTTTCCTGCTGCAGCTTCTTCTGATCATCCAGACACTGCAAAACCAGGCCTCGGAGGTGCGTCACCTCCGCCTGCAGAGCACTGCACATGCAGCCTGCAACAGGAGACGCAGCCTTCCCTTCACCACATGGCAAGGTTGGACTCAGGCAAGGAGGCTGCAGAGACACGGAGGGAAGTCAGGCCAGGTTTGAGTGCAAGGCCAGCAGCTGAAGCCATGCACAGACAGCGTTACCCCAGCTCGTTTCCCAACTTCCAAACTTCTAGCAGGCAAGGTCAGCAAGCTACTAGTCATTACATCTTCAGTACAAACCCACTAACTTCCTAATTTTTCTGGGAAAGTGGCTCCTGTCCTCCTATCCCCAAAACCCATCTGGTTTACTCCCCCTTTCCCTAAGCCTGGGGTCTGTACCTCCTCTTGGGACAGAAAACGCCTGCAATCAGATGCTGATTCTGTTTGCAGCATCATCTCTGATTATCAACAGCCCTCTTTTCTTCATCCAGACAAATGAGGTCAATCCAACACCCTCTTCTCAGCTCTCCCCATAATTCAAACATTGCCATTTACAGTCCCCAAGAACTTCTGGCCAAGCATTCACTTGGATAACATTACCCAGGGCTCTGTTTTGGGCTCGTTTAATCCAACGGGTTCCTCAGAGGCCACTTTGAGTCCTTGAAGTTTCTGGTAAGGGAGAGTCTCCTTCTCAGGCTCCGAAGATGCCATACTCAGAGGAAAGGGGCTGTCAGGCATGGGGATGAATTCAGCGTTCTCCAGCTCCTGGAGACACAAAAGCAGCACCGTCAGGTCAGCCTTCCTGCCTCTGATTCCATCTCCTCAACCAATGCACCAACCCCCTCCTGTGGTGAAAAAGGCAGCGAGGCCTAAAGGGCTCCCTGCGCAGCACAGCTCTGAGAACCTTTCAGAGCATCGCTTAAAGGTGGAAGGGGCCACTTGCTTTTCCCCCACCTAGATCGCCGTTTTAAGGCATTTCTGAGACACCGCATTACCTTCCGCAGCCAGCCAGGGCAGGAGCTGCTGTCAGCACTGTTGCCTCCCTTCGCTTCTGTGGTGCTGATCCAGCCCCCCAACTCACGATCTGCTTCCATGGTTCCCCGAAAGCCTCCACTGGGACTGGGGGTCTCTGCTTCCTGTTCATTATCCTCTTCCTCTCCTCCTCCAGTTGTGCAGCTCTGAGCCACTAGCAAATGAGAGTGAAAACTTTATACTTTCCCCACCTCTGGTATTCCTGTTGCCAAACCCCAGCTGGAGCAGAGAAGATGCAGAAATTTGGGCTGTATGTCCACGGTGAGAGCACATGCTAGCAGCATCTCCCTCAACTCCCTGGAGGTCTCCCCTAAAGGGCTTGTGTGCCAGTCTTTTGCAGCTTCTTGGCCCCAGCCCTCCCACAGGTCCAAGAAACTGGACTCCATCTCTCCAGCAGCTGTCCCATAGCCCCCCTTCCCTTATCAGCTCCCTTCAGTGAATTCCTCTCAGCTTTTCCTTGTCAAACTGAAGTTCCTGCTGCATCCATGTTGTGAGGTCTTTCACACACAGAGAAACCATGCTACAGGACCAAACTGCATCCACTCAAACTAACCACTGAACGGAGTTAAACCACAGCTCCCCAGGGCAGGTTACTCACCAGTACCAATGGACAGGCCACTGCTGTTGGATCGAATTGTTTTAGAGTTCAACACCTTTTCTGCAAGGAGAGAAGTATGCTTTCAGTTAGAGCGCCACATGGAAAGCAAGACAACTCCTACAAAGGCACGCAACAAAGCCAATGTCGCAGGCCTAGAGCTCAGAGCAGCTTGCCACATTCCCCAACAGCAACCTGGCCTGTTCCCAGGCAGGATTTATAATCTAGGTCCTGGCCAACAATACATCATCATAACCAAGATCCCAAAATTTCATCCTAAACTTACACTTACCAACAATGATGATGGTGTGCCAGCCACGGCACGATAAGTCTGGAACATGATGCAATGATCCAAATATTGGCCGAGGCCATGAGGTACAAATATCCGAGCCATGAGTTCTCTCGGTTGATGTCATTGCCAGACGCCCATTCCCGCCGTTACCCCAGGCAAAGATATGGTTGTCTGAGGAAAGAAAGATTCAGGACCCTCAACTCCCTCCCTCCTTCTTGGCCTGTTGTCACTACAAGGGTCACAGCCTCTCTGCTCTAACTGCTGTCCCAAAGTATCTCATCCACCAGCTCCGTTTTGCCAGCGGGAGAACAAACTGATAATGAATCTAACAGGCAGCCACCAAGCTGGCACTCTGCAGCCCCAGGGACAGCAAATGCTTGGCGCTGCACTAGGACAACTAACAGGGCCAGACAGCCCCAGCCTAGGAGGATTTCCTTACTTCAGTGCAGTGCTGCAGGGGTGGTCTAGGAAACGCTCAATGGGAGACAGTTAACCGCCCTGCAGATCTAGATCAGAGGAACCCACCACAACTTTGCAAAGACCCACTCACCGTCAGTAGCAGCTATGGTGAACTCATCTCCACATGAAACCCTGATCACCTGCTTACCCCCCAAGGGGCCTCCCAGCAGGTTAATTCCCAGGTGCTTCTTATAGTCCCCAACACCAAGCTGTCCGCACTTGTTGGAGCCGAAGGTCAGCAGGCGGCCTCGCTCTGAGAGGAGGAATAAGGAGACAGTCACAGCCAGGGCCCAACTCTGGAAGCAGCCATGCGCACAGAGAACTAGCAGCAACAGCCCATGACCAGGAAGAACTCTGCTGAGAAGCCAGCCAGGCTGGGAGGGGACAGTGCCAGCCAAGAAGAATGGTTTCAGCCTGGAAACGTCTCCCCAGTTCCTTCTCCCTTTGCTCCCCTTTTGATGCTGGGGGCTGAGGTTCCTCGCAGCCCTCTGACTGGTGTCACTTGGGCAAAGACTAACTTGGGCATAAACGATTTCTCTGCTATCCCAGAGAATGATTCTTCCCCAAACTTTTTTCTTTCCTCCCTTTAAAAAAAAGGAGGGTTGACCCAGCAGCTGATGTTGCTGCTTCAGCTGGCCAGGAGGCAACACTGCTGAGGAACAGGAATCCTGGGCTACTGGAGCAGGCATGAGCCCCACTACCATAAACACAACCCTCAATGTCAAGAGCCAGGCTGAAAGGGCAAAGCTGATGTAAAGTAATCCAGCAATCAGCATTCGCTTCTTATTACGCAGGGCTCACCATCAATGGAAGCTGTGTGGGTCTTCCCTGGAGAAATGGTACGGATCTTGTAGAAGGACAGCTGCTTGGCCAAAGTAAGGGAAGTGGCATATGGCACCTCACAGTACGTCTGAGAAAAGACAGGTGGGTAAGCACAGAGGGAAAAACCACACACTCATCAGCTAAGACCTACTCAAGCAGCTCTTGACAGGCCACAACATTAGCCTCGACAGTCCCAAAACAGGCATGGTAAAGAACTGCCAGAATCCATGTCGCTGGCTAAGGCACCCTGGAGCAGCTCGCAATTTGTTTCACTGCCTCAGATCTGACATAAGCCCATAGGGCAGACAGGAAACTGAGGAACAAACTGCCTCTCCCCACAATTCCAGTATCCATTGCCTTGGATTTGAACTAACAAATTGGCACAAAGCTAATGAACGCTTTGCCACTGTCACAGGACCTCCATTTTCCCATATACTGCTGGGAGCTGGAGCCAGGGACCCAAATGCACTTACATCATGGTTGATGATCCCTGATGTGCACTGATTCAGGCCCAGCTTGTTGAATTCGTTGAGTCCACATGCCAACACTTTGCCTGTCTGGGTGAGCAGGAAAGTCCCATCACAGCCACAGTGAACAGACACAATGTTTAAGGTCTTTGGAACATCCACCTATGTGGAAGAAATATATCCCAAGAAAATCAAAAATCCCAACATCTACTACACAGAAGCTGGCACGTGGAAAACATACGGAGTTAGAGCAGTGGTTCAGCTAGTCTGGGCACTGACAATGCCCAATGCAGTTATTTTGAATAAAGGTGAAAGAATATCATAAAGTCTATAGCATATTGAAACTCCCATTGCAGTGCAGAAATTCAAGGCATTCTAGACCTCGTGAGCAAACACTGGGGAGCCAGCACAGGAACCAGAAATGTGGTGCACAGGCATTCTGGCCAGCTGGGGTCCACAAGCACCAGACCCAGTAAGCTGAGCAGGGCTGGGTCTGTGCTCTGTGGGTGTGATACTGTTGTGATCACAGATGTTTGGCTTTCAGGCACATCCTTGTTGGTTTCTAACCCCCAATGAGTTAGATTACCTCAATCACCCATAGCGCTGTATTTCAAGAAGGTTTTACTTTCAACTCATCTTTAACTCTTTATATAATGTCAAATTCAAAGACTCCCAGTTGTTTGCGCTGCTGCGAGTTTCCTCTACAGACCTGAGGTATGCAATTTGGTATTTCCTACTATGATTTCTACAACATTAAGTTTGGCATTTCCAGTTCCAGCTGGAGATCAGAGCAGTGAAGCTCTGTGTCATGATGCTGGCTGTTTTGGGAGTGGCATGTCCCTCTGCCATGATCTCTGTGGACAAATGAAGCAAAATAAAAAGTAGGAAGTAAAGTTAAAACCCCTGCAAACTTTACGATACCTCAGAAAAAAACACGTCAGCCTCAGACAGCTAATATTTCCAAACAGCAACTAATTTTGTTTTATGTCCATGCAGATTTTTAGAAGTAGTAGTCGCAGCCCTACCTTCTGAGGGGTGTAGTGATCTTCTTCTGAATCCAAGCCCAAGCGCCCTGCATCAGTGACAACACTGCAGTTAGAAACGGCCTCACAAGGTGCCCTCCCCTAAGAAATGGTACTGTCTCTCCATAGTCCCAAAGGAGTCTCCCTACAGAACTAGCAACCTGCTCCCTTCCATGCATCATTGCCTGCCAGTCCTCAAGGCAATCCAACCCCACTCACAGAACAACTGCCTTACCCACAAGGAAGCCAAGTGGCACCTTAGAGCTGCCCAAAGTCCCAAGGGCTCAGTCACCATTTCCCCATTCTTACAAGGAAAGAAAGCCCCAAAGAAACTACGTTCTTTGCCCCCCAGACACACCAGACAGCCCTCACCCAGGCCCTGCATTACACACCTGCACCAAGCTGCTTTCTGGAGCAGGCATGCCCCAGTGCCCTTGAGTTCCAGGGAGACTCTACCTACCATACTCTCCACAGCCCCATGTGTAAACTTCTCTGCTCCTGGTCAGCACTGCCACGTGGTTATCTCCACACGAGACCTGCTCCACAGGGTTGGTAAGAAAGAAATCCAGCTGCAGCGGCTCAAGCACTTCAGAGCCATAAGCCTTGTCAACGCCAATGCATCCATAATAGTCCGAGCCAAAGGCATACACCTGGCCCTCATCTGAAGGACACAAGGGAAGCTTGGTCAGCACACAGAGGTTGGATTAGGCTGCATACTAACCTCTCAGGACATGGCCAGAGCAACCTCTTTTCATAACCATCTTCCTCTTTAGTGCAGAAGAGTGTCATCAGGAGAATATGGAGTCCTTTCTTGTTCATGTTAAGATGGATGACGTTACACCACAACCTGCAGCTATTTCAGGCCACCAATGTCAAAAAATCTTGTGTTGAACCTGCCACTTTCTTGAACAGAAACCCACAAATTGATCCTGTTGCTCCCGAAGTCACTCCTCCAGCGCACTGAGCATCTGAGTTTACCTCTGTCAAACCTCTGCTTTTCCAGCATTGGCAAAATAAGCTGGAAACTACCTTGTTGATTATTGTTTTTATCAATAAAGCGAGATTCAAATTCTTCCATAACAGACAACACCACAGTTAACACATCTTTAAAAGCATGAGCAGGGTTAAAACTAGAGACAGCTACCAGGTATCAAGCTTTCTGAATCAAATAGCAAATCTCAGATACACATCTTTTATCATTGAGTGGCTCTTTTGCCACACAGTCCAAAAAGAGTTTCAAACATACTTAAATTTTTGTCTCCAGACTCCTCTGTCTTTAATACAGGCATGTATGGAGGCAACACATGCACTGACAAGAGCAGGGACTCTCCACAGCCACAAGGAACTGTGCTCAATACCCAGCTTCATTAGCAAAAAGGAGCACATCCTTAGTGAAACACCCAGCCTGCTTGCGAGTCAATATCTGCCTCTGTATAATAATGTTGATCTACCTCCACTATCACACCTACTGTCCTCAAAACTGAGCAATGAGTAGCATACGGTACTTTATTCTTTGTGTACAAAGCTGCTCTGCTAATCTTACAGTGAAGGCAAACATCTCCGCAGCACAGCAAAGTGAGAGGACCAGTGGTCCCCTTCCAGCTCTCACCTGTGATGCACACTGTGAAGTCATCTCCACAGGACACCTGGCGAATGGCTTTTCCCTGCAGCTTCTCAACATGCTTTGGCTGCCGGTAAGAGGCTCTGTCTCCATGTCCCAGCTGCCCGTGCAACTTGGTGCCCCCCTGCATATTCTGCAAGGCAGAAACATCTGGTAAGGTTATGCATCCACAACTCAAGAGATGGTGCCAATAATTACAGCACCTCAAATGAACAACTGAAGACAGCAAAGAGCAAAAGAAAGTGTCTGAGCTAGTGTAACTGCATGCAGCGCAACAGCAGGTAACATTCTAAATGGCAGCTCAGGCTTTTGGGCAGTTACACGCTAACAAGGAGTGATCCAGTCTCAGGCCACCAGCTGGTGAGGAACCCCTGCTCCCTTCTCATCTCCCAGGCTACAGAACCTGCTCCCTGCTGCAGGACTGAAATTCATCCTTCAGCTTTTTGACCTCCTTTTCTAAATCCAAATGTCTGCAAAGAAATCCATAACATGAAACAAATATCACTGAAGTGGCCAGACCTACCAATTCTACAGGAAAAACAAAACAATTCTGCATAGTGTTAAAGCTGAAACTAAAGTATTAATAGCCACCTGAAAGTTTACAGTGGCCATTCTTGCAGTAACATCATACAACAGTTTGGGTTAGAAGGGACCTTATAGATCATCTCTTTCCAGCCCCCCCTGCCACAGGCCAGGACACCTTCCACTAGACCAGGCTGCTCAAAGCCCCATCCAGTCTGGCCTTGAACACTGCCAGGGAGGGGGCATCTACAGCTTCTCTGGGCAACCTGTTCCAGTGCCTCACCACCCTCACGGTGAAGAATTTCTTCCTTATATCTAATCTAAACCCACCCTCTTTCAGCCTGAAGCCATTACCCCTTGTCCTGTCACTACATGTTCTTGTAAAAAGTCCCTCTCCAGTTTTCTTGTAGGCCCCTTCAGGTACTAGGAGGAGGCAATCAGGTCTCCCTGGAGCCTTCTCTTCTCCAGGCTGAACAATCCCAACTGTCTCAGCTTGTCCTCATAGAAGGGGTGTTCCAGCCCTCAGATCATTTTTGTGGCCCTCCTCTGGACCCACTCCAACAGGTCCATGTCTTTCCTGTGCTGAGGGCTGCAGAGCTGGACGCAGGACTCCAGGTGGGGTCTCAGAGAAAAGCAGAGGGGCAGAATCACCTCCGTCGTCCTGCTGGCCACACTTACTTTGATGCAGCCCATGATACAGTTGGCCTTCTGAGCTGTGAGTGCACACTGCCAGGTCATGCTGAGTGTCTCATCAACCAGCACCCCAAGCCCTTCTCCTCAGGGCTGCCATCAATCTATTCTCCACCCAACCTGTATTTGATCTTGGGATTGCCCCAACATCCAGCAAATGACTTCAAGTTGCTCTCCTCCCATTTGGCTCTCTCTCCTCTCACCCACCTACCAGTATTTTCTAATCTGTCTTAACAGATTCTGTATCATCAGTACAAAAGCCTGTGGAAGCCTGGAGATGCAGAATACCTCAATGTCACTGACCAGCTAAGCCTGACAAGACTGGATTCAATTGTTTTAAATGCATTATATGCCAACACTTTTTTATTCTCTTTGAACTATTACAGAATTTCCACTCATCATAGAAAGCAGAGTTGTTTAGTATAAGACATCTCTGGTTTCACCCACAAGTTGCCTCACAGATGACATCTGTATTACAGCGAGGTCACTCATGCCACCCATTTTGATCTTGGAAAACTTTCCTCAAAAATACACAGGCCAACAGAGCATCACAAAGCCTCCAGTGCATTTCTAGTAGTCAGGAAGCGGAAGAAGAGATGTTTGACTCAGTGTCTGGGCCTACAAGTCCACCACCTACAACCCTCAAGTGCACAGCAAGTCTCCAACACTTCCTGTCATGATGGAAAACTTCTCCCAAAAACACGCTTGCCTTGGGAGACTTGGGTCAGCCCCGAAGCAGATGGCCTCACAGTGTCCATTGCAGTCAGATCTCTCCTTTTCCAAGCTGCTTGCCCACTTGACTCTACCAGGCTCACAAACGGACAGCAGTGGATTTGGACTGTCCGCTCCCACCCTCACCCCCTTCCTGCAGCTTCTCTCACTTACCACCCAGGTGTAGAGCTCCTTCTCCACTGTCACCACAGCAAAGTGAGTGTTACCAGCACACACCTGGCGTGCACTGCAGCCACTTTTGATGGCATCCAGCTTCTGAGGAGTGGACTTCCCGCCACCCCAAACATACACCTCACTAGTGCGCGAAGTCACCACTGCAATGGGAGCCTCATTCACGGTACTTGACCTGCACAAGACCCCCCCACAAAGCACACATACTTTTAATAATGAGTCTGCTTTCACGGCCATCACTCATTTTCCTAATGTTGTCTATCAGTTTCCCCTTCACAACCATTTATGGTTTTTATATTGACCAACTGTTCTCTTTGTTGAGTGGTTGTGAGGCCTCAACTGCTATAGAGAGACTCAGGACCAAACCTGTCTCAGAACAGTACAGAAAGCAGCCTCCAGGAAGCACTTAAAAAGCCTACAAACCAATTTTGTGTCATTTAAAAAGGCTGGGCTTTCACTGAACAGCCATGGAACTGTTCTCATTTGTGAAAAATGAAAGCCTTACAAACGGTCATGAAATCTCGCTCAAAATACAAAAGCATCCAAGAGCTTCTAAGTTCCCTCTATCCTCTTTATTTGAATTACAGGCTTTCATCTGAGGGCAAAAACGTAACTCTGATGCAGGTAAGAATCAATTCACAAGGAGACTGCAAAATCGAAATTGTAATCAAAGCAAACTGTTTGTGAGCCACCCATGAACTGGAACAACTTCACATAAAGTGCTCAGATAGTACTTCCAAGTTTATGAGGAAAAAAGGTCAAATTCTATCTGTCGAATCAACAGAAAAACAGCTATGCATGTCATGGAAGCTATCTGCTTCATGGAGCAACCTTGCTTACAGGCTTACTGGGGACTGTGGAGAACCTCTACATATGCATATGTTTTATGAAAGATATTGATATTTATTTAATCTTTATCATTCAGACAGTCCTATTCTTCCTGCTCAAGGGAATCTGAGCAACAGGAGGGATCTATACTGCATCCTCAGATAAGGAGGCTGTAAAGACTACATCCTCAGTAGGACAGATCAGAGCTGTATGGGACCTGCTGAGGTAAGGCTCCAGCCATACATATAAGCAGGATATAGAATCACAGAATAGTTTGGGTTGGAAGGGACTTTTAAAGGCCATCTAGTCCAACCCCTCTGCAATGAGCAGGGACACCTTTAGTTAGATCAGGTTGCTCATAGCCCTGTCCAACCTGACCTTGAATGTTTCCAGGGATGGGGCATCGACTACCTCTCTGGGCAACCTGTGACAGTGTTTCACCATCCTCATTGTAAAAAGATTCCTCCTTACATCCAGTCTAAATCTGCCCTCTTTTAGTTTAAAACCATTACTCCTTGTCATATAGTAGAGTAAAATGTAGAATAGCCATGACTATGTCAAATTCCCAGCATTTAGGGATCTTCTAAACTACACTTTTCCATTAAGGCTGTCACAGACTAACACTCTCAGCAAAGTTCCTCTCCAGGGAGCTGTTCTTGCCACACTTCCTTTCAAACACATGCCCAAATAATTACCTTGGTCGCTTATTCGGCCCATTAAGCAGTGTGACTTTCTCTTCCATCTCCCTGCCAAAGGAGAAAAAGCATTTTAGGAAACAGTAACACTGCCCAAAGCAATTTACTGACAAGAAGCACACACAGACTGCTTTCTTTTCCAACAAAATGTTGCTCCCTTTTGGAGGAAATGTGGCAGCTGTTTACCTGCTCACAGCAATACACAGTAAGTAGGGCAGAAGTAACATAGCACACAGCTAGCAAACTTCCAGGAGAGCCGAGGACAACAAACTACATATATACCAGAATGTGGCCACCTAATATCCATATTGCACAAGAATGAACTTAAGAGGCTAAATATTATCAGGATTTGGGCTTTTACCAGTGCATACAGCAAGGTAAGACTCAAACTTTGCTGACCACCAAGAATGTTGGTATAAAGGAATAAGTCTTCTGTCCCCAAAGCAACAAATGTAGGATCCAAACAGTCCAGAATTATGGTCCACCTTTCACAAAAAGACCGTGTGTGCAGGCTGCTGGTCAAACTAAGCTAAAATGGGCCACTTTCAGTGCAACTCTCTCCAGAAGAGTGAGGCAACAAAGGGAGAAAGCGAGGTCTCTATATTGCACGATACGTGTATTTCAAAACGCCTTTTCCAATGACCATAGGAGGATTTCTGTGACCCTTCCTTCACAGAGATTTGAAGAGCGAGAATCAGCATTCCTCAAAGGAGCCTCAGAAAGGGATGGGTCAAGGTTCTCAATACAACAGTTTCTAAGACAAAGGATGCAGAGACCTTTCTCACCATAACCATGCACCAACAGAACATAGGGACTGATCAGCAGACAAGAACGCCAGAATGCACTTCTCTCCTAAAGAGGATGAAGTGTACTTCAGCAACTGCCTCATATCAGGTCAAATTAACTTAAGGACTTTGCTACAAAAGCATAAATGCCACTAGTCTGCACAAACCCTTCTGATCTCCCTGACACCTGTCCAGTTTTCAGGCAAGACCATCTGATTACCTCCTGCGTTTGCTGAGAAGGGGATGTTCAAGCAATTCATCTGCAGTGGGTCTTTTCTCTGGATCCTGAAAGAAGTGAGCAACAAGTCATTCTCTGGGAAATGCTCAACATCTGCAATGAAATCTTGGGTCAGAAGACCTCATTCAAGCCTGTATGGACCTCCTTCCCAGACCCCCTTCACAAGAAGAAGGAATTAATTCAAGTATTTGGAATGAACGGGCATAAATGCCAGGGATGTGCAGGAGGGACTTCCATGCTCTGAAGGTATCAATACTACGTTTGCTTTCAAGAAATTAATCCTCTGCAAAAAGCCAGAGTCACGGTCAGGAAGCCAGAACCTTAAGACACTGTACTGAGAAGATGCTCCCACCTCCACAGCACTGCATCAGAAAATAATTGCTTCTGCCAGCCCATTAAATAATTGTTGTCAGAGTAAACCCAGCACCCCTCCAGAGCCTGCAGGACTGAATGGCATCTTGAGAAAATGCTTTCAGAGGACTGTAGGAAGCCCAGCCTTAGTGACGCCTCAGGCCTCACAGAAATTACTCTGCATCAACAGCCCTCATGCTGAAACAGGCATGTCATTCCCCTTAGTCCCTGAATTCCACGGCTTAGGCAGCTGGGAAGGGGTGTCTGAAAATTAAAAAACTACTTTGCCAACCTGATCAAGGCAGGAATTCACCATTTGGATCAGCTCTCGGGAGTAGACAGTGGAATCAACCTCCATGGCGCGATTTCCCTGTACAATCTTCACACAAAGGTTCAGGGGATTCTAGACAGAAACCAGCTGTAAGCGAACTGAACTGGACAATCTGTCCAACGGGGAGAGGTGCTACAGGCCACCATTATTTTCTTCCTCCTTCTCTGATCAGGACACATCCTTCTTCTTCCCTGCCTAGTAGGTTCTCCAGAAATCTAATAAATAATTCCTGCAGAAATGGTACCTCTGATAGCTAGGACTTGGTGGCAACGTCCAGCTTTTCACCAAATTCCCTAACAGTGGAGGGAGGATCGGCTGCTCTCTGCACGACATCTCCTATGCAGCATACTGCCATAGAAACATCACACAGCAGCAAAGTTACTGGGGACTCGATATGCATGATGAAAGGAAGTCAGGAAAGGATGGTATTTTCACATCGTCCCTTTAAGGGTTACAAAATCTTGCACCATGGCAGCTAGCAGCTTTTCCCATCTCATGGCAGAAGATGGCAAATCACATATGCCAGCCAGCAACGCTCCCTTCCACCTTCCCCATGCCAGCTTGACCACACTCCTCTTGCACCCAAACTTTAAGAAAGGGTAACAGGATTAAATCTTATGAAATCCAGAGGCTGGAAGTTTTTGCTACAGAATGTTGCACAAAAAATTCACAGCTAGGAATGCTGAAAAAACCAAAAAGACTACACAATCACAAACTTCCTCCTTGTACAGGAAAGCATGTTTCTTTCACAACCATGATACAAATTAGCACAGCTTGTATTCTGCATCTGGTAAACCCAGGGCTGCAGACAAGGATGGGTTTGGCAGAAGCCAAAGAAGCATCTGCAGTGCAGGGTATGAGAAATCGTGCAGCCATCTTCTCTGGCTATAGTTGGCACTCCTAGGCCACTGTTTAATTAATCAGCAGATTTAAACAAAAGAAAAATGTTAAAAAGGTTTAAGAAAGAAGTTTCGCAAACTATGAGCCAAGTGTGAATCTCGGGGTGATACAAAATAAGGTTACTCAGTACATCCTGGTTTGCAGACTTACAGTGGCATCAAAGGTCCTCTTCAGAGTAAGCAGCTCAAAGATGACACAGCCCACTGCCCAAATATCTGATTTGAAGTTGTATTTCACACCCTGGCACAGTTCTGGGGACATGTAATATGGAGTTCCCACCAGCTAGGAAAAAAAGAACATTTAAAAATCAGAAATGATTCAGCAGTCTTCAATTCACAAGCTCTGCATCCATTATGCTCACACAGGCCCATGAGCATCAGAGCTAGGCACAGCTCTGGAGTGACACAGATGACACACCCCACCAACGTGCTGGAGGGATGGGAACGACAAGCACGCTTCTGCCCTTCTCATCCACAAGCCTGTGCCTGAGTTTCTTAGAAGATCCTAGACACCCCTCTGCTCAGATCCTGAGGTAGTACATACTTCTCAATAGAGCAGTAGTCATGAGAACGCTGCAAGGACTTGCCCCTCTCTCAAATATACCACACTTTGAGGTAATCAGGGGCTTAGGTACTGACCAGGCATACTGAAACCCTAATGAGAGGTTGAAGGAAAGGGGATCTAGCAAAGCCTCCAAACACAGGAGGAGGCTACAGAGCCAGGACAAAGGCTACTCTGCCTCCAACGAAACAAGGGTTACTTTTGCATCAGTAAGTAGAAAGCTGGCACGAGTTCCTCCTGAAAGGCTTTCACTTCAGAAGCGGGCTTTCCTTAACAATTGGTTTGAACCAAACACCCTCAGCACACACAAAGTCCTAAACCCCAGAATTTAAATACAGAAGCCCTCCCAGCTACAACAGACATAGCGGCATAGCTTAAAGTCACAAGAAGGAGACACAGAACAAACATGATAAAAGGTGTTAAGAACGAAGGTTCCACATGAATGGAGTTCATTCCCTAGCAAGGAACTAGGTAGTGAAATAAAATCAAAAAGACAGAATTTAGAAGAAGGGGAAATATTTCTAGTTGCCTTCTTTTCAAGTCTCTCAGCAAAGCTCCAAGGACTACAAAGCCTGCCTTTCATTAGGCTCTGCTAGTATGCTAGATACCTAACGGGCACATTCAGAATCTGCCATTTCCCTTCCATTTCCCATCACAGAGCGTGACAGCTACAGAGTGACGCGAGTCCTAGCCACAGGAAGGTTTAGAAGCCCACCTAGCTGGAGTATCATACGGAGAACTAGGACACTATACCTAAACCTTCTTTAAGCAAAGGATAACGTACGCTTTCTGTAAGACAAACACAGACACACCTTCTATGTCTTCCTTGGTAAATGTGAGAAAGAATCAGCATCTAATAAGCAAGACGTAAACATTTTACAAAATCATAATTTGACTGTTAGAATTACAAATACTGACAATAACATGTTTTGCACTTCTTTCACAGCAAAAAAGACTTCCAAACCGCCACTGGTCATTAGATCACAAACTGAGCAACTAGCCCAGAGCACAGCCAGCATATACAGAATGAAATACCGCTGAAGTTAGCTAGTTCAAAATTTTTCAGAAGTGAAAAAGGAAAAAAAAACTTTGCAAGTGTAGATGAACACACACAACACAGGCAAAACAAACCTGGAAATTCATAGCACAGACTGTACTTTCTCTGAAAGCCAGAGGGCCATGAAAAATGTGATGAAACAGAAATGATTTTGCTGCAGCCCAGCTTAGCAAGGGCTTTATGCAGTAGCCTTCAGCTCCTACTTACTGTGCCACTGCACAATAGCACACACGTTCTGGAAGGAGGTTGGCAAGTATTTAACTACACATCCTAACAGAACACCAATAGCTTGCATTAAATCTAATAATACGGCCTGGTAAGGGGAAATGCAAGCTGGCTTGCATCCCAAACTGTAACAAAGGCCTGTAGCAGATAGGAGCTCCAGACAACATTTCCCTTTCCAAGCCTAGTGATCATCACAGAAATTAACGGGGTAGGAAATCCAAGCTGAGCCTTTCAGGTGCCTGCATTACAGCTTACTCTGGGTCACAACACTGGCTGCGAAACTGCTTTCTGGAAGGGTCTGGAACAAAGCCAAGCTTGACAGCCTTCTGGCAGAACTAATCCCTCCTACAAAGCTTTGTCCCTCTCCAAGAGCATTACCAATAAACCATACAGCTGGTTACCATAAGAAGCACAAGTGCCTTTGTTGCTTCTTGGTAATTCGGCTCTGAGTCTGAGTATTAAAGAGACAGGAGACCCATCTATGGCACGGTTCAATGTCAGGCAAGCACATCCAAGCTATCTCAGACCCAGCTGAGGCAAAATGCCCCTGTTAGCACGGCAGCATGACCAAATTAGTTCAACTCGCTAAGCTGGACTTAACTAGTCCAGAGGGAGAACGCTGTACTGATGTGACTACACTGCTGTCTTTGTACCTTTGGACAGCACTGCCTTTGTATTACACAGATTCACCTTTGGAAGTACCATGCCTGGGTACCAGGGAAAGCAGAGTAGTGCTCTCTAGCACAGCTACACTGGCTGTGGCACAATTCCATGCCCACAGTGGCACACATCTTTAGCCTACAGCTGCTTTGCAGAGCGACAGACCTCCAAAAGGTAACCTGGGAGCAAGGATAACTACAGGCTGTAACACACCAGCAAACATGCCAATGTTACTTAGATAACACTGAGGGAAATTGAAATCACAGAATCACAGAATGGTAGGGGTTGGAAGGGACCTCTGTGGGTCACCTAGTCCAACC